CCCCCCCCCCCCCCCCGATAGCCCTTTTACCCAGAGCGTATCATGAGGGAAGAAAAGCATATTGGATCTTCCATACTCGAACCACCTCAACTGACTCACTTACCCGACTCACCCATCATGAGCAGGTCTACCCTATTTGTCCCCTTTGTCCCCTTCATCGCACTCTTCTGCCACGTCATCGAAACCGGCAATGAGGAGGACCTCGCGCGCATGCAGATTTTCGTCACTTCGCTCGAATCCGCCTGCCCGAGCTCGCGGGCCATCGCCAAGCACCATCGTCTCATCCAGGTCTTCCATCGGGTTGTGCTGCGGTACAAAGCATGTCGGGATGCGACCAGCCTGTCGCAGGAAGAGTCTCTCAGCCTGCGTTCGGAGATGGATACTCAACTCCACGCGCTCGGATTGCAGGCTTCGGTGGCTTCGTCGCCGCCGCCTCCGATCGGGCGGGGAATTGGTGAGGCCAGTGTGGTTGGGGCCTGGTCTGGGTGTGGTGGTGGTACCGCTGCTGCTGCCGCTGCTGCTGCTGCGGATGCGGATGCGATCGACCCTGGTTACTCGGCCGCCTCAGGCGTAGATCCCTGGAAGCAACCAAGCCTGCAACTGGGTGAATGGTTCTCATTCAGCCAGAGTATGATGGACTTGGCAGACGAGGACGAGTGGTTTTTATAGATTGTGTGGATGTGTAACCGTTCAATATTCCTTTGCTTCGACTGGCCATCCGAGGTCACCAAAATCCTCGGCGAGAGAGGAGTCGGCTTACGGCTGTAGTCATGTCCACCGGACTTCGGAGATTTTCTACTCTTTGCTTGTTACCGTGTCGTTAGGATGGCTCTGCGATTCAAGGAAGCCTGACCCTCGCGATGGGCGGGCGGTCTCATCTGTTTCAAGGGAAAGAAATAAAATAGCTAACACCAGGTGCCGCAGTTGTACCGGGGTCCTCTCCACAACAACTTCATCGGAATGCCCCCATGAAATGTTGCGCAGTGTTTCAGTGGCATTGGAAAACACCTTCACTCCACTCCCAGCGCAGTCTTGATCAACCGACAGCCAGCATTGACTGTCAGATCCAGCCGGGAGGGCACGATGTCGGGATTGAGCTCCACCAGGTCCAATGCAATCAGATTCCCCGATTCCTGCAGTCGCCTGGCAACCCGCACCCCTTACTCGAGCGACAGTCCCGCTGGCACCGGGAACCCGGTGGAAGGCGCCCATTCCGGGTCTAGGGAATCGATATCATACGAGGCGTGGATCGGCGTGTCGGGCCCCATATGATCCAGGGCGGCCTCCATGATCTTGTCAATTCCCAGCCTGAAGGAGTCACAGAAAAACCATTGTGATCATTAGCTAAGGTCTCTATATTCAGAAGTGGTTATCGCCGGCGGTTTTGGGAGTGGGGGCGCAGGAAAAGAAACAAGCACAAACCTACCGGTTCACATCCTCCATCGTAAAGGCCTTGACCTGATGACGGGCAATGAGCTCCTTCTCCGCCTCGTCGACATCCCGGAGACCTATGCAGACGAACCTCCGCAAATTGATGCGGTGGCTCGGATCCAGCTAGTCAAACACCCGCTCTGGGGCGAGGGGGCAAGGCACGACGCGAACGCGACGGGCATGCCGTGGAGGCGGCCACTCCTGCTGGTCTCGGGGGTGTTGATGTCGGCGTGCGCGTCAATCCAGAGCACACCCAGCTCCTGCTGTTCCTGCTGCTGCTGGCCGGCGAATTGGTCGCGGAGGGCCTTTGCGGTCCCCGTGACGGTCCCCGCCCCGATGGAATGGTCGCCCCCCACCGTCAGCACAAGCCGTCCTCGGCGAGCGTGCTGGTAGACTGCACTGCTCACGCGCTGCACCGCTGCACTCACTTCGCGCGGTCGCTTTACCCAGTCCCCCCTCCTCCTTTTCCTTCGCCTCTGTGTGGTCGGCGGTGGCAGGTTCAGCCGCCAAGACATCGAAATCGATGGCCAGGTTGGCTTTGGTAGCGATCTCCTGAAAGACCCCGGTTTGCATGATTGCTTCCGGTCCCTTCCCGGCGCCGGCTCGAGGCTGTAAGAGTCATATCTTTGCCGTCAGTAAGCCATCCCTCCCAGTGCGAGTAGAGTTTTCTGTGCGTATCTCGGCGGGCAGGTTGAGGAACAGAAGGGCATACCGCTCCACAGGAGAATTTGGCGGCTATAATAGCCAAGTGCGTTCTATCCGCGAGAAACTTCATCGTGGAGGATATATTGGGCATTGTCGTATGAGATCCGCGAGGAATTCTCTCGAAAAGAAAGAGAAATCAGGGGGGAGATAGGCGGGGGGTGGGTGAAGTGTTCGCTTCCGGAAGACTGGCTGTAGTTGAAGAACGCTGCATCCTTTTTCTGCAATATCAGTGCCTGCGGGCTCGGCTTGAATGAACTTTAGCGGTCGAGGCTGCTCCACCCTCGCTCTCCACCCGCTCTTAAAGTTAAGTTTACGCGGTTTCGATCCCGGATTCTTAGGGTTCCGCGGTGATAACCGGATTCTATGCACAATCACAGTAGGAGGTCAAGAAAAGCAAGGTAAACGATAGGTAGTTCACGCCCCCCTCCCCCAATCCAAACAAAGGAGGAACAACCATCTAATGCTCGGACCTTGCGACACTGTCTAATCACGGCCAGCCAGCGAAGTACCTAAGTCTTGGTAAAGCCAGACGTCGGGAACATTCAGTCTCCGCTTTCGATACAATTGGTGAGCTTTGCGTCTCCCTGTGCGGAACGCCTCGCAAACCGTCGGGTGTGTGCACATAAATGTACCATCCGGTCATCCGGCACCCCTTGTTGGATGAGAAAATAGTCAAGACTATCCTACAAACATGGTATCCAATTACACTGTGGAATCCTTCGAGGAGGGATAGATACCTTGTCCCATTCCCACAGTAGGCGGGCAGCGATAAGGCTTTCTGGCAGAGGCTCCTTGCGATTGACCTAAGCTGCCATGTCAGCATGCTTGTCATGATAAATAGAGGACCTTCTGGAGCTGTTCGTGCCCGCATGCTGTCTGTTCACCTGCGGCTTGTAGAACGGCCATCATGTTTGACCAGACCCGTCCGGATCAATCTAACTCTATCTCCAATGCCTACTCTCATCCGTTAATACTTGCATTAGTTACCTACGGACAAATACATTTCTTCACTGCTGGTAACTCAGGTGCTTTAATTATTCTTCCACCGATTTCTCTGAAGAAATAGTCTGATGTCAGTGAAATCGTCTTGTCCGGACTCGATCTGGCTCGCATGTGGCATGAGCTTAATGGAACAGTGGATCCCGGTTGCTGCGGATTCGACTGCTTCCATTACGGCGAGTTGACGATATAATCACACATAGCCGGATGAGATCTTTCGATCAGCGGGGTATTTCTGCTAGCTTCTCGGTCATCTATCCTTCAATCGGCAGTTCGTTCAGCGCCGGATACAGCATCATTTCAGCCAATTCGGATTCAGCATCCCGCATATGAGACAATAGTTCAGCCACACTGTGGGGATTCATGAGTCAAGTGGACCATGGTGGGGCTGCTCAGCTGCATTCTTCCCGGGGGATATCTCTGTAGGTACCATTGCAGTGGGACATGAACGTCACTTTCCTGTACAGACACGTCTGCTGTTCTGCAGATCACTCTCGAATTGATCACCGATCTACGAACATGAGTCGCGGTGCACAGCCGACGCCGCTTCCCAAGGGCTGCTCCAGTACAGTACATAAAAACCCACCGAGTCCCCTCCCTTTCTCTTGCCTCCCTACTCGTGCAACAAAACTCTCCATTCTCACTCTTTCCACCCTACTAGCCCTTTCAAGCATCATGCGGCGAATGAACGACGACGACTGGCGGGAACTCGGGGTTGGCCTCGGGCCGCTGGGATGGGGCATCTACTACGCCTGTATGTACACGCCCCACGGATCACCCTAGCTTCTCAGACGCAAATGCTAAGTTGTCCAGGGAACGCCTTCGCTGACAGCGATGACCACCCTGAATGGAGGACCGGGGTCAACATGACGGGCTGGACGCTCGCCTGCAACGACAACGATGATCTCGTCTTCCTGAAGACCGAAGGGTACACCTTTGCCTACTTTTGCCACAACAGCGCGCCCGGTGGCGCCTACTTCACCCTTCACAACTTCTCCGTTAAGTCGCGCGAGTCGGACGCTAAGTTTATGGTGATGCACCCTTTCAGTGGCGGCGGGTGCGATCGGGACCAGATGGTGGAGTGGGCACGACGCTGGAGCGGTTATGAGGTGACCGGAGACGAGAAGGAATATTATATGCGGTTGATCCGGGCAGCGAAGGCGGGAGAAGGGCAGGAGCAATAGATATTGCAGTAAATGCCTCAATCTGAATCTCTTCAAGGAGATGGCGAATTCTTGCCCCCCATATACATGTAGAACTTGCATATTTTTATGTACATATTCCGTATGTACTGTTAGGTCTAGCTACACAGTCTTGTATCTCCTGGTACTGGCCCCTATTACTCGGGCCATTCGGCACCCTGCACTATATACTGCACTACTACAATATCCGTCTCCGCTGCTGCCTCCTCTGTCCCGAATATCGGATACAGACACAGCCGGCTGGCGCCGTACAGGTATGCCCCACCATAAATCGGGATCTCGGATCTTTGGCCTAATAGAGGGTTAGGCTGATCGATCGTCAGATCCCGGCTCATGCCATGTGTAGCATGCCAGCAAAGATCATGGACTGGAATGGACCACGCAAGTGGGAATCCTTGTTTCACCGCCAAAGGATATCTCGCACATGTAGAATGAGATGTCCTGCGATTTGTCAATGCGTGGCCTTGTCAGATATACCAATGAAAGCTTATCCGCCATGATGCGATTGGACACGCTGTCCTTACAACCTACAGCGTACGAGTCAGCCCCAGCTGGATTAGGAGTCCACCGGTACGATCCACCGCGATAATATCGACATTAGAGTGTTAGTATATAACAAGAGCGTCCTCTGTTCATACTCTCTTCTACGTGTCTATGTGTCACATGAACTTTCCCCAGGGTATATAAACCGACAGGACTTATAATCTTAAAAATGACAGGTTTTAAAATGATTTACCTGAATTAGACGAGCAAGTATCATAAGGCTCGGGCCCCCGGTTGGTCGCGCAGGCATTTGAAACAAGCGCCGATTCTAGCAACAATTGTATAAAGTGAGGATGTACATCCCTTGTGGACCCAAGCAAAGTGAATTGTGGCGAACAAGATAAAAGGTGAGATAAATTGTAGGAAAGAAAAAACAAATGCAAAAACATACAACAGAAGGGATTCGCTGGTGGTCACCCACCCAACTACTAACCTCCCGGCGTGTGGCTTAAGTACGGCTGAGCGGACGGGAAGCCCTGTTTTCCACACCCTGTGGTCGTATGTACTATGGTACAAAATGCTGCGGGCTCTATCCCACCTACGAAAAGTGGCTGTCACGACTCATTACTTGAAGACCGACTATTGCTCAGCCCCATCCTGGCATGTACTGTACATCTCTCTATACTATAAGCTGATACGTCTAATTATTGATACATACCAGTGTTGCATCTCCGCAACACAGCATTCAGCACTGTATGATGCTACACCACCACATCTCCTCCACCCCGCACATACTCGGACACAGCCGGATGTTGAGTATGCATAATTTCGGGGCTCGAGAGTTCGATCCCGGCTCTTGTCGTGCGTAGAGTGCTAGTGAAAATTATGAATCAGGCAGTGCCACGCAGCACAATGCGCTGAATAGCTTTTGTACACAGATATACCTCGATATTGACTTGCGTGTGCTCTCATCAAATATAAGAAAACAAAAATTCGGTCCAAACTTGCTGGAAAACGCTGTCACTTACGCCCTACGGACCAAAGCCCCACTTGAGTATAAAGTGTGATTGGCAATCCACCGATCCGATCCACCGCGATGACATTAACATCAGAGCATCAGTATATGATAAGGACAACCCCTGTCGGTTTTCTCTTAAACTTTTGTTCAAACAGCACTTCCTGCAATCTAGCTTGGAAAGAATAGAGCTCCTCAACCCCGGCAACATTTCGAACCCATAATCCCTCCCGCCACCATGAACAACTCCAGTCTCCACGAAGCCATCATCTCCTCCTTCCTCGCAAACCAGCGTGCCCCAACAATCCGCGAGCTCGCCGCTCGCTTCCAGTGCACTGAATCAGAGGCTCGACAGAGCCTACAAGCGCTGGCCGACTACCACGGGGTCGTCCTCCACCCGCACTCCGACGAGGTCTGGGTGGCGCACCCCTTCTCCGCCGCCCCGACGACCTGCATCGTCTCCTGCGGCGAGCGCAAATGGTGGGGCAACTGCGCCTGGTGCTCGCTCGGGGTCATGCAGCTGGCCGGCGGGACAGCCTCCCTCACCACCCGTCTCGGCGCCATCGGGGACGAGGTCTCCATCGCCGTCAAGGATGGGGAGCTGGTCGACAAGGACTACGTCATCCACTTCCCCATCCCCATGGCCAACGCCTGGGACAACGTCATTTTCACCTGCTCCGTCATGCTGGTCTTCCGCAACGAGGCCGAGGTCGACGCCTGGTGCGCCACGCGCGGCATCCCCAAGGGCGACGTCAGGCCCATCGACCAGATCTGGACGTTCGCCAAGGAGTGGTACGGTCGCCATGCTGATGCGGACTGGACCAAGTGGTCGCTGCGCGAGGCGGTTGAGATCTTCCGTCGCCATAATCTGACCGGGCCGGTTTGGGCGATTGGGGGTGATGCGGAGCGCTTTTGAGCGTGATGTGCTGGGTGAGGGCGTTGTGTTGCGTGTTGAGCGGGAGTGTTGCTTGTCGAAGATGAGCTAGGTGTCTAGTTCTTAGGTATTTGTGAGGAGGTGTCGTTGGCGCTTGAAGGCTATCGCGCGACTTGGGAATGTATCCAGTGCAGCCTAATTGTATTTACAAGATTAGCGCAATCGGGGTCATGGATTTACAGAAAGTAAGATTGTTAGGTTGGAAGAGTAGAATGGTGGATACCCGTCCATTTATTTAGGCGTGGGTTGTAAAGAGTAAGGTGCCAAAATCCAAAGTTTTCCTAGCTAGCCAAAGGAAAAATAAGACCATATTTACTATTTACGTTCCCAAAATCTAAGCCTCCCTACCAAGCCCCACACGTGTGAACCGTAAACGAAGCCCTATTCCTTTATATCGTGTGGTTGTGTGTACATACAAGGTAGCCGGATGACCTTTATATACCTTAGTCAGCATCATCTGGATTAAGCTAGAAGTAAAGCCATGTCGACAAGAGGGGCACTCTATCTGGGTGGAATGTGCTCAGGGGGTGTTGATACAGAGTCCGACAAAATAGCCACAGATACAGATAATCTTAGTACGTCGCACCAAATTTGCCGTGATAGGGCTTATCTGTTAGAAGTGATGATGAATAATGATTTCCAAAGGCAGAAGGTAAATGACGGAGGAGATGAGATGGAAAATAGCACCAAGTATACAGCTATTTTGACTGTTCTACGCTGCTGGGGGAGATTATGCTGAGTACGGGAAAGTAGATTAGCTATGATCAAATCAGATGACACGGTGGCAGGCATAGTCCACCGCTTACTTAGTCCAGACAGAGAAATATACATGAAAGATAACTTCATCGACAAAGGCTTGGACATGGCCCTACGACTGAAACTTGATTGGAGCAAAGGGACAGGGATTATTACCCAACGATACAACACAGCCACAACGCCAGCCTCGAGCGGTCTTTGGCGCCTAACCATCACCACTGAGCCAAAGTTCCACAAATTCTTCCCAAGCAACTATTCACCGTGAGAAACATAGTGAGAAGCATTCCGAGCATGTCTGCTACACAGAGTCTCATCCAGAACGCCTTCGATGCCGCAGTGCAGGAGTTCAAAGCAAACCTCAACAACGACGCAGTCTACCAGAAGATCCTCTCCGTCACCTCCATCGATGAAGTCTACGACCTTACCGATCAGCTTCAGGCTGAACAAGGTAGAAAGGGGCACCTGCGACACCTGGCCAAGATTGAGCCTTACCTGAACCGTCTCCGCGACTATGCAGCAGTGATTGAAAACTTTGTCCAGATCAAACCGGAGGTCATGGCCCTGATCTGGGGTCCGATCAAGCTGCTGCTCCAGTGGAGTAGCGTTCTAGCTCAGTCCTTTGATGCAATCCTTCAAATAACGGGCGATATAGGGGTCTTGCTGCCGGAGTTCCAGGATTGCGCGGTCTTGTTCGCGCAGAACAATCGTATCTATGATCTGATGGTGCTGTTCTTCAAGGATATCCTGGACTTTTATCAGGTGGGGTTGAAATTCTTCACCATGTCGCGTACGTATAGATGGTGGGAGGCTGTAGGATCTGAGCTCAAACGTGATGCTGATTCCCGATATAGGATGGAAGTATTTCTTCGAGTCTGTCTGGCCTCGTAAGAGGGACCGTATCAATCTGGTCAAGACTCATATCGAAAGACACTCTTTGCTTATGCGGAATGAAGTACGCCTAGAGCACATTCGCGAGGAGCACGAGGCTCGATTGAAGGCCTTGGAGCATTTCAAAGCGGAGGAACGTGCTCAGCGACTGCAGCAGTTTCATGTGATCAAAACCGATGTCAATCCGAGGATGTACGATGACAAGCTGAACTGGTGTCATGGTCGCATTTGCGACGGATCGGGCGCATGGCTGCTTAGGGACAGGGCTTTCACCCGTTGGTTGAATTTCTCTGCTGGGACGCCGTCCGTTCTTTGGCTTCAAGGCATTCCAGGTGCCGGTATGTGAACTTCGAAGGACCCATTGTCTGCCGAAGAGACTGACACCCAGAGATTTTGTGAAGGCAAAACATTTCTTGCCAGCTTAGCTATCGATAAGACTCGCACAGTAGCCCACACGGCCTTCGCTTTCCTGAGTCACACATACAGTAGCAGTACCTCAGCTCTGAGCGTGCTGCACTCTTTAATATTCCAGCTCGCAGGGCGAAATGAGGATATGCAGGATGTGCTCTGCCATTCCACCCACGACCGTATTCGGAGCGATGTTACTGTTGCCGTCGAGCTTCTCAGAGACTTATTGAATTGTGCAGGTTCTGCATTCTTAGTTGTCGATGGTGTGGATGAGATAGAAGAGCTTGAGCGTGGGATTCTCCTCAAGCAGCTTCTATTCTTGTCGGAAAAGTGTCCCGAAACACGGGTCTTTATCAGCAGTCGGCAAGAGAGCGACATTGCTGCCATTTTGGAGAAGATTTCGGTGTCAATTCGAATTGACAAAAGAAACGAGGAAGGCATTCAGGCATTTATAAGTCAGCAATTGAGACAGATGTTTGAAAGTCGTGAATTTCCACCCGACGTCCAGACGCAAATTCGCCAATCCATGGAGCCCCTAGCTTCAAAAGCCAATGGTAAGACAGATAATCGACCTGATGTATCAGATCATATTAATATGTGATTGACCCGATCTTAGGAATGTTCTTATATGCCAAGGTTGTCTTGAGCAGTATTGAGCTGCTAGACGACCTCGCGGAGATTTGCGAAGAGCTGAGCCTCCTACCAGAAGATTTGGACAGCGCGTGAGTCTCGTATACAATGCTGCGAAGAACTTATGTTTAAGGCTCACATGTGAACAAACAGCTATGCTCGAATTCTACTTCGGATCAATAACCTACGACCAGCATCAGTCAAGGCGAAAGCCAGAAGGATACTAGCCTGGGTTGGCTGCTCACCCACGCCATTGACTTTGCGGGAGATGGAGCAAGCCCTGGGTATTCAGCCCGGCAATTTCAATGCGGGAAAAAAGTTGGGCGCAGCTCCAAATCTCAACAAGCTATGTGGACCAATAGTTGAGGTTGCTGGAGAATACGTACAGTTTGTTCACTTTACGGTCAAAGAGTAAGCACACTGCAGTGGTGGCGCTGAACACATAGCTAACCTAATCAAGATATTTTTTTAGCACAGCCGTATCCGGCCATATCAGTTTGATTGAGGGAACTCTCGACTTAGCCACAACCTGCATTACATACTTCTGTCAGGGATTTCACAATCCTGATGTCGTCAGCGATGACGATCAATTCACCCAGCATCTCATTGAAGGTAGTTATAGGCTGCACTATTATGCGCAAGAGAGATGTTTTGAAGTCCTTCAGATCTACCTACGCTGGTTGAATAATGCAAAGCTGCCCTCGGGCCTTTTTAATTGCCTCAATATGTTGATGGCTACGCTCAGGAATGATCAATTCGCGCTCGCGGCGGATGACGGACGCCTTATAGAAGCTTCATTTCTACATAACTTTGAAGCAGATCACCCAGAGCTTTACCAGTTTCTGTACAACATCTACCGATTCCGTTATATGTGCTCACAAGAATCTTATCATCTCAATGAAGGTATGCCCCTCATCGCACAGCTGTTGGCCCGATGTGCAGATGATAATGTGTCTAGAAACGAAATGGGTTGATCTCGATCCACTGGTATCATCCCAAGTATCAATTCGGCTTTATCAATACATCGACAAAGTGCGGTGTACTTCCAGCTCTCACAATCCCGGATGCCAATTCGGACTCCTCGACCGTGTTTTCGGTTTACAGCCCTACAAATGCGGGTATTTAAATTGTCCTCTCCAACGCCGTGGATTTGAGTCCAAAGCCATACAAAAGCGACATGAAGCCGAACATACTCGTGTTTGGAAATGTTCTGTTTCAGGTTGTGAGTATGCAAGAACTGGATTCTTGTCTGCGAACATGAGAGATCAGCATGCAACCAAAGCTCACCGAAAGCCAAATGATTCGATTGACATTCTTCACGACAGCCATATGTCACCCGAAGACGAGTTTGAGTTTATCCTAGATCTAGTCAGGTCTAACGATGTTGAGGCTATCAACTCCCTCCCCCCTACTAAATTGGGGGCGAAATTTGGGTATGTATCCAGCAGCTCTTACAAACTCGGAAAGATACTGGGAAGATTTGGGTCTGCGTCAATCGTGGGAGTACTTTTGCCATATACCGATTCGCATTTCATTTATTCGGAAGCTATAATGGCTTCGAATACTGACCTTCTCAACTGGCTAATTGATGCAAAAATAAAAGGCAAAGCGTATGCACATTTACGATGTGTTTGCAGAGAATTCGCACGGTGCGATTCGGCAGAGATGCACGATATTGGCCGCAGATGGTTTGCAATGTCTCGAAATGCAGAATGGCAAACCCCTCTCAAACTGTACGATGCAGTCATGAGTCAAGATGTGATCGGTGCTACAGCAAGCAAACCGGGAAGAGAGGACTTTTTAGTCTCACTGTGGGATTCGGTTTGGTCATATTTCAGTCAAAGTTGGATTTCACAGGCGTTGAAGAACGTTGCCAAGACAACTTGCTCTCTCAGACTCGGGCAGATCCTGATTCAACATGGAGCCAATGTTAATGGGATTGTCAAAGGTAGCAAGATTTTGGCACTCGAATATGCAACCCGAAGATCTACAGCGAAAAATGCCGAATTTGTCAGGTTTCTTCTGTTTCATGGTGCTGATGCACAGCCCACTTCAACCTCAGTTATTATATCCAACCAGGTCGGGGCGAGGGAGATATCTCGTTGGCTTGGGACCTCGTGGGACGAATTGGTGAAACAGGCCAAAGCCCATATAGATGGGAACCTACCCGCTTTTTGAATATGCCACAAGCACAAATTTTCAACGAGGAGCAACGTTTGAATACGAGTTTCACACTAGTCCATGGTCTTGCAAGTATCATAAATGAGGGGATGCTTACAAATCCAATATTGAATAGCCAGGCAGGCAGCACAGAGTGCAAGATAAGTTTCTAATCGAATAACATTCTCATCAATCGCTCATCGGGTCTGCTGATGGTGCCATGCCCAGAAGATCCTGTAGCTTCTGAAACAGATTCAGTCATATGTATCAAGGAAGCACTCTAAAACAATACCCCACATACCTTCCACCGCCTATGGTCAAGATCTGCCTGTGACGTTGGAACGGAAGCCAACGACTGGTGGATGACTGCTAGCTTGTCTTCCTGGACCCAACGAACGTACTGAAACCCCATCAGCGCGGTTTGAAGAAGGAAAGGTACAGTCTATACATACATCCTCAATGGAGTTGGCAACGAGATATCTTGTGACCGAAATTTCGCGAGACTGGCCTATTCGATGAACTCTGTCAACTGCCTGTGCCTCTAGCATGGGGTTCCAATGAGGCTCCATAATGTGGACGGAGTTGGCTGCTGTCAGGTTGATGCTGTGAATCCTCCGTCAGCCGAATAAGCACGGAAATCGTATACACGTTTCCTCACCCTTCTCCGGCACTGCCAATACTGGCCAGCATCACCGTGCAGCTCTCGTCCCTCGTGAGTCGCTCAAGCGCTAGCCGGCGATCCGTTAAAGTCGACCCTCCATCGAGACGAACATAGTTATAGTTATTGGAGTGGAGAACCGTAGCTATCAGATCTAGCATCTTGGTCCACTGACTGAAAACCACACTGTTGATCACTTAGTGAATTGGCAATTCTCGTTTGTAAGCGCGGAATTTTCGCGGCCTACCTTTTTACAGGCCTCAGACCTGATTGCGATGTGTCTCGTTGTTCCCTTTCCAAGTTCTTGAGTAATGCTATCATCTTCGGAGATAAGTCAAAAGAAGACTCGTGACATTCCTCCATCGGCATTTGAGCAGGAGTGTCAGCTGTACATTCCGCAGCATCATACACGCCCCCAGGCTTGGCACTGCCACCAACAGCTTCAACACGAGCCGGTGAGCTTCGATTGTCGGAGGCAAAGTCTTCCTCATTCAAGCCTACACTTTCACAAGATTTGGTAATAACCGCATCTGCATCTCTGTATCGATTGCGCCATAGCTCGAGCGCGGGTTTAGGTAGTAAGCGCTCACCATAATCGCATATTAGCCGCAGGATGTTAATCAGTGCAAGGGTCGTATCTGCACCGGCTTGTTTTCCAGGATCCTGAGCCTCACCAGAAAGCTTCGCTGCCGTCTTGGATGCTTTCGCTTTGAAATAGTCATATATTTCCCGATCTGCGGCCGTTAAGTGAACCAATTCGGTTTTTTCAACCTTTTTCGGCAGCTGAAGGGCGGAATCGAGCGTCTTCTTGGTCCGCCGGAAAGCTGTGGCAGCCACGAGCGCTTGGAGTGTCTGGATATAGCCCGGTTGCTGGCGCTTCACCGGCGAAGCAATCCAATAATCAAATGCGGACTTAGTCTCCAGGACCGGCATTTGCATGAAGCTCAAGAGGGCACCATAATCGTCGATAGAGTTTTGGATTGGCGTGCCGGTGAGACACCATCGAACGTGCGCTTTCAGGGAGCTCACCGCCTTGAACACCTGTGAGGACCGGCTTCGGATACGATGTGCTAGGCTGAAGTCAGATCACAACAAGCCCCATATCATATCTTCATCTCAGCCTCTTCATCATACGCTTACCTTCATCTAGAACTATGCGATACCAAGTCTCTATGCTTAAACCATCCTTTGTCCGCCAATCCTGGCGTATGGTATCATACGTTGTAATGACAATATTGTACTCGCGTATCAGGGAAGGTTTGACTTTGCCTCGGTTTGCGCCATGGTATATGAAGTACCGAAGTTGGTTATGTTTGATGTGTCTGGGGCCAAGGTCAGCTGTGAAACAACAACATGCCAAGTGAGCGCCTACGTTTTGATCTGTTTCTCCCAGCCCGGAATAGCTTTGAGTGTCAGTCCTGACTCATTGTAAGCCATGAAGTATTTCAACTTACTGCTCTTCGGTGTAATGATCAGAGTCGCCCGAGGGCTGTCGAGAGGTAATTGTAGACAATCTATGGCATCGAGGGAGCAGCAAAGTAATGATAGAAGACTCAGTGTTTTTCCCAAGCCCATGTCCTGTACATAGGTCAGACACAGTCCCATTGCAGGGTACAACCCACTAACTCACATCCGCAAGGATTCCGCCACGCATCGGTCTAGGGTCTGTGTCGATAGCCCCCGTGATTCTATGCCGGTATCTGCCACCAGTCAGCGGCTATCAGCGATCCTGACCCCCTAGTGCGGCTATTGACGTACTTGTGGCCCTCAATTCCTTCCCAGATGGAAGGGAACTTCAGACCGTCCAGTTTTCCGGACTCCCTTTCCATCATCATTGCCATTGCCACTTCCTGGTGACTGCAATCGAGAAATCAGTGTTCAGCTCGGCTACCAACATTAATATCTCACTTACGGTTTCAGAATCGACGCCAACCTTGGACTGGAGCAAGCTTCATAGAACCCATCATAGGTGCTAGCCGTGTCGAGAATCCGGAATAGCTCACTCTTGACCCCTTCATTCAACCTCTCCGAAACCTGCGAGCCCTGCTCATCGTCGGAAATCCTGAGTTCATCGATTCGAGGCATTTCACTCCCAGGTCGCAGAAGATACTGTGGGTTCACATATGGAAATCTGGGGTCATACTCCACGCTTGTGGGATGTTGCAGGTACATGCCTGCGTCCGATAAGCAAGTCCCGACCGAATCTTTGTCATTGTTACTTCCGTACACAATAACTCTCAGCTCTGGTTTCTGACATTCCCTAGTCCCAGCATCTTTACCGAGTAGAGCGGCGAACAGTGTGCCGACCAATCTGACACGATTTTGTTTCAGCAGGTCCACTAGCGCAGGCATAGCGACGATGCCTGCATACTTCTTCGTGTCCGTGAAGGACAATTTGACGACTCCGCCAAGGGTTGTCAAATCGACGCGGGCTGACTTTCGGTTTCGACTTTTTGTCTTTCCGTCGTCCTTGAATGTGGAGGTGGGTTCGAGGGTGAGCTAGGGAACGGTCAGCTTGTGACAGGAAATAGATGGAGACAGGCGTTTTTCTGTGTGCACCTCTCCAAAGCAAGTGTCCCATGTCACAGCGTCCGCTGGTTCAACGCTTATGACGGGCTCGCTTTGACATTTATTGAGACACGGCCGGTACTGTTCCTTGTCTGCATCACTCGTTGGTTTCTTTGACTTGCCCATGATCTTGGGTTGAAGCTCATTTGTACCCGGACTGGTACCGGATAACTCCATTTTAGTTGCGTTCCAGTCAAAGTCAGGTTTGATCGATAGATCCTGAACGTCAGAATTTCCCGTGGATTCCAGATCGGGACTGAAACTCTGAAAATCTGCTGGGCCTTGTTCGCACCCCGGCAACTGGTGGGCCAACCGCATGTCCGTTATAGGGTAAGAAGCGCCTTGTTGTCCTTACCGACCGCTATGATGTTAGCCTGAGCGCAGGAAGTGCTAGAGGCAATTCGTTTCTCCCACTCGAGAGTCTTACCACTCTGACCAAAGTCCTGCAAAGCTGGCGCATCAAGAGCGCCCTGGCGATCTTCCACGTCCAACCCCAGATTATCCCCCCGCCATGCATTCCAATTGCTGTCCAACATATTGATATCCACCTCGTGCGACGGATGAGATGCCAAGCCTGAGTCCCGGATTAGTGCCCCATACGGATCCTCCACCCGTATCTCCGGATAACCCTGTTGTGGCCAAATCGAGCCGCCCACGTTACACCCGAAAGTGTCTGGAAGGTCGTCAAACGGCTGCCCTCCGAACCAGTCGCCATTTGGAGTAGTGATAGCATGAGTGAGACTCTCTGCGGGCGTCTCGGAGCAAGCCCGCTTGCTACTTATGCTGCTCCCATCGTTATCATCCTCATCGTCAGGTAGCAGGCGCTTGCTTGCTGAGCGCGACAAAGCCATCGGTACTATCCTCGACAGCTCTCGAATCTCCGTTTTGCGACCTGCTCCCCGTATTCTAGGGAAATATTGAGTCGAACTGTAGGAAGTAGGGGCCAGATCTGACTTTAAGACAGGTAAAATGCAGGTTCGTTCTCAGCTCAACCGCCGTCTGACGCACCACGCCTGGCGGTGGTCACAGCCACAGCAGGGATCATGCTGACTAGCACACACATACAGGCAACCAATCAGATGGCTGAGCGTCGAGGAAGGATTGACTGCGCCACGCCCTGGCTGGATGATTGGGACGTCGCACTCCTCAATGTTGATATTAAATGATACAAGGTAGGACTAACAGTGAATGACTAGAGATCTGTGTCATTTATTTACTTTTGTGTTCACTATCACTGTCAATGCAAAGTGTATAAATGTACTCAAAACCGCCCAGTTGACCGCCCATATTACTTCCTTTGATCTATATTGCCTGTAAGCGGCTTTTTGAATCTGGAGAATGGGCCATTCGGAACAATTTCTCGATTCCTTGGTGGTTGATTGTTCGAGGAACTAGCTAAACTCTCAACGTCGGCAACTCGCTTGGTGCATCGCTTGGTCACGTGGCCTGGATTGCCCAGAAACGCCGCTCAAACTAAAGAAATCACCATCACTTTAACATAATCTTTTCTTCGTCTTTTGTTCTCTCTTTCTGTTTCTCCTTCTCTTCTTCTTTAATTTCTGTCATCCCAGTGCAATCATGCAACTCCATACCCATTCCAGCCTAAGCACAGCTCTGGATGAGTTCTAGATCTCCTCTGTCAACTTGCAGCATTGGAGGAAGACAAGATCGTCCGAATAGCAGGCGGACGACGTCCAGAATCCGCAATCAATGCATTCGCCGCCCGCTCTGCTTGCTTTCTCGATGGAATACTAAAATTTTGGCGGTCGAGTCGGCCCCCTCGTTGCCGATTCGGTTCAGGCGGCGCGCGGCACTAGCCGAACCTGCATCACACGCACGTTCTTTTAGGGTTGTAGGACACGGGGGCAATCTCCACCTGGAGACCCTGTAGGGCCAGTTAAGTTACCAAACCCCCAGGGGGGACCGGGAGATGGAATGCTGGGGCTGCCGAGTGTGGCGGGTAAAGTTTCAGCCGCGGCACCCAACTCGGCAGTGGAATGGCCGTGACACCCTTATCAGATTGCCCTAAAAGGCTTATCCCCTCCTTCAATGGTCCGGTTCAACCCTGGGATTTCTCGCGGGATCTATGATGGCGGACTCAAAAGAAGAAGTAACGCTGACCACTGGGTCAGTGGATGCCAAGAGCGAACCAATCTCTCAGTCACAGCAGAATGAACCCGGCAGCACGCAGCCACCTAAAAATGAGTCGGCCACAGAGCCTACGTATCCAAAATGGTGAGCAGACCACCCACCACTTCGTTCCAAGTCTACTATTCTGACAGATCAGGCACTACGTCGCCATCGTGGCAGCCGGCTGCCTCATCATGATGACCACCTGCTCCTTCGTCTTCGCCTTTGGAGTCTACCAATCCCTGTACGAGGAGATGGCAGCGCAGCCCAACACCCCCTTCACAGGGGCGTCGACGGCGCTCATCGACCTCATCGGCACGCTGGCCATCGCGCTCATGTCCATGGCCGGACCCTACGCCACCGCCTGGTCGAAGCAATACTCCCCGCAAGCCGTCATCATCGCCGGTGGCTGGGTATTTGGGGTGGCCTACATCCTGGCCAGCTTCAGCCGGGCCCTATGGCATTTCGCCCTAACGCAGGGTCTTCTTCTCGGGGTTGGATGCTGTCTTGCCTACGTGCCCACCATGTCCGTGGCGCCGACCTGGTTCAACGCCCGCCGCGGCCTGGCCATGGGGGTGATCATCTCCGGCACGGGGATCGGCGGCATGATGTGGCCCCCGGTTCTGCGAGCGATGATCTCGCACATCGGGTTCCGCAATGCCCTTCGTGTGTCTGGCTGTATTGCCACTACCATCGTAACGGGCGCTGGTGCTGTCCTACGCTGGGAACCCCAGTTCCACGCCAACCTGAAAGCCCGGCAGCAGGAGCAACTCACATCCAACCCCAGCAGCACCTCTTCCAGAACGCAGTGGAAGCAGCTCCTCACCGTCCCCCTCGTCGACCGCACCACCGCGTTTTCTGCACGTTTCCTCGCACAAGCATCCGGCTGCTTCCTGCAATCCGCCGGCTACACGACCCCGCTCTTCTTCTACGTCGCCTTCGCCCAGACCCTGGGCTACAGCACCACCACGGCCGCCACCTTCCTGACGGTGAGCAACGCCTCGAACTTCGTCTCGCGGATCGTGCTCGGCTACCTCGCCGATAAATTCGGCCGGATCAACGCCCTCGCCGCGACCACGCTCGTCAGCGCCGTGGCGGTCTTCGCCTTCTGGTTACCTGCCACGTTTTCTCCCAATGGCGGGGTCTCTGAAGCAGCTGCGCGCGGCTGCTTCATCGTGTTCACAGTGCTGTACGGGGCGTTTGCGAGCGCGTACATCTCGCTGTTCCCGGCGTCGTTGGTGGAGGTGTTCGGGGTGGAGAAGTTCACGAGCGTGAACGGGGTTCTGTATCTGATCCGGGGGATGGGGGCGCTGGTGGGCACGCCGTTGGTGGGGCTGTTGATCCCCGAGCGCACGGCGCTGGTCGAGGCCGGGGCGTATCGGCGGGCGGCGGGGACAGTGGGCGCGTTGCTGATGGCGGCGGCTGCGGCGTGTTTTTGGGTAAGGTGGGAGATGAGAGGTAGTAATAGGGGGTGGAGGGTGTAGTTTGTGAGATACTCGGTATAATATGATGAAATGACTGTTCGTGCACATTAGAACGATAGAGATTAATTAAGACTAACCTATAATACAGCCCGCCATATTATCATAACTAAGGTGAGACTTGGGTTGAGGTTGCCGAGAAGCTGAAAGAAAGGGGGGTCTGGGGGTTCTCCCCCAGATAGCCACCTCCCCACCCCATGGCAGATATTATCCCCAATGAACCACCACAGACTGACCCACACCCCCATAATCCCATCTGCATCACCATAGAAAGCTAACCCATAACCCCAAACAAGCACGAAGACACCACCATCCCCAGCACGACCCACCCGCCCATCGAAACCTTGTGCCCGACCACCGCCGCACTCTTATCGGAGGTACTCGTGCTACTCGCCGCACTGCCCGTGCTGGTGCCTGTCTTTCCCGCTTTGCCGGTTTCGGTGGAAGACACCTTGGCCGTTGCGCTGGCTGTGAGGTTCCCGCTGCAGAAGGCCTCGGTCACGGCGCCATTGTCCTGGAGACAGCTCAGAAGGGTCTTGACGGTCTGGTCCTGCGCCAGGCAGTACAGGCCGCAGTCGTTGTCGTATTTGGTGACGGTCGCGGGGGAGCAGCATTTGTCCATGACGGAGGAGAAATTGCCGGAGTTGGGGAGGGCGCAGGCTGCGTCTTGGACGGGGAGGACGTAGAGGTTGCCCGTGCAGGTGGCGGCCGCGGCGGAGCCGGTGGTGGCTGTTGCGGTGGTGGTTGCGGTGGAGGTGGACATTTTGGTTGCGGTTTTCGGGAGGGGAGGCTGTTTGTTTTGATTTCAAGGTATTGGCAAGGTAAGCAAGTGCGTGTATTCGTGTTTGTAACGACTGATTGTTGTCACTACTGTTGTAACGTAGTCGGTATGGTAGATCAACGACCGTGTGTTCAAGCCGACGGATGAACGAGTAAGGAGAAATAAGGTGCAAGAACCAGGAGAGATGAGATCCGCAGGCAGGGAAGAAAGACAGCGGATTAAATACCCTTATCCTTGCAGCAGTGATCAATCACCCCATAAAACTTGATCTCCCCACCATTCACTACTGCGCCCCACCCGCTGACCCTATATTTATCCACAACCTGCCGTCATTGGGCCCGGGCCACGTCAATCCCTACTATTTTCGGGGTCCCGCGGCCACAACCTTGGAACAACTGTCTGTGTGACCCCGGATCGACTCTGCTGGTGTCTCACCATTGTGTTGGCCTTTTTTGTTTTTATTCTTGAGGGGTGCGGTTAAGTCACTCGGTTCAGTTGGATTAGGATTTCATCATCGGCTGTTAATCTACTATGTGTACATTATTATCTTTGATTTTAGGTTTAGTCTATGTTGCCCATGGTCGCTACCGGGCCTTTGTCCACTTCCAACCGTCCACCTGTGTAGTTAACGTTAAGTTGTCTTACTAATTGTACTCGAATTATCTTCTTTGTGCTCTCCTATCAGTATCCCCAGTCTCCGTTCTTTGCATGGTAAGCTGTTTTATTAGCACACAAGCAACCTAATCATGATCAATACTGCGTTTGACATCTCAGGGCAGCCATTTAAGGTAGCTTTCAAGAGAATCAGGCTGTTCATACTGATTAGATGTTGTACTATGTAATTTACTTCTGCTATTCTTCTCAACTACTGCCTACGATTGTAACAGGAGTGCTTCGGAGCATGGCTGACGAGGACGATTAATATTAAGGACATAGATATATACATATTTTGCGGGGTGTTAACGAGACCGGGGGTGTTTACGAGACCGGTGGACAAAACGCGCATTGCCGAGCGTGATCCTGAGGCCGGACCGTGGCTGAGCAGAAAGCCCCTTTAGATAGTAAATCTCTTTATCTAGCACATACAAAGAGACATATTCGCATCTTTGCCACAGATCTAAGTGGTATTCCTACGAGAAGATTATCTGATATCTATTCTATCAAAGTCAACCTAATTTACATATAGAAGCTTATTTGACCGACTCAGTTGCTTATTTGTACAACTAGATATGAACAAGGTCAAAGGTGACCGTTAATGGGGAGATTCATCCAAAACTATGCGACTTTACACCGATCCAGAATCAATCACTACAGGTTTATCTTTGGGTTCACGCTTCGGACCCGATGTTAGCGGAGGGGGCTGTGGACGGACATGGTAAAAACATCAGCATGCTGTAGCCTACAGACATGCTGCGACTATCTCCGAAACTCAGCAAGTAGAATGGTCGCTTGTATGTCCAGTGTTCACTCCCTTACTAAGTACTAGGTAGTTAGGCATCTGGCTGCTGACCATACCACGGGCTTCCCGCGCAGGTGCGTCTTTTGGGGCACCCGTGCGACTATGGCACCCTAAAAAGCGATGCTTGCAGAACGGGTATGCTGCTCGCAAGAAGGGAAGTATCAGATCATTGTGGTCTGTCAATCCTGCGAATGCCGACGAATGCAATGCTAGACTTAGACCTTACGCATCGAATTGTTGGGCTTAAGATGCCCTCTTGACCAGAGATCTGCTAGCTACCTAGTACCGCTGACGGCGACCACAGCCTGTTTCCATATCAGAATCGCGTTGCAGGACGAGGCGCAAAATGTTGGCTTGCGGATTGCCAACTGAGAAACTCGAACAAACAGGTTTTGTTGCTAATGGGCGATTAGTGTTTATTGTGTGGCAAGCTGGGAAAATGTACAGAGCCCAGTCAAGTGCAAAGTCTCCAGGCAGGAGTTGTGCTGTACCTCCGCGGCAAACTGGAAGCTCGGGCATAAAGTAACATAGGAGCTCTGGTCGAGAAAACCAACCCTTTTCCCTTAACCCCGAACCCCACCGGATGGAAGTCCAATTCCAGAACGTAAGCGCTGTTGCGGTGCGAATTCTCCAATATGCCAAGACTGGCCGAAACTAAAGGTATCGACCGAATCTCGCCCACATGTAATGATCCACTTATTTCGTACCAGATTATACTCATACATACAACCCATACACCCCTCGTGATCGTAAATCTTCTTTTTTATGGATTCAGCCGGTTCCACACTGAACGAGTAGAAGCTCCGTTGAGATATTGCGGCACCTTGATCGTTCGGTTTCGGTAGGCCTGCTCCTGCTGCAGTTGTTGAACTCCAAAGCTATTCTCGTCGCCCGTGGTCTCTAGACAATACCACGCACAGCTTGATTAGCATGTGTACCTTGAGGGCCACAGCTATTGATACACGCTTAGTCTTTGCATATACTCTAAAATCGTTTTTAAGTGACGATTTTGAACTTTTTGGCAACCTATCTAGTTTGATCCGAGTGATTCTCCAAGGTGCCAAGCCACGGGAACCCCCTCATTTCCCTCCGCAGCCCTAGGTATTTCAATCATATCATCGGCCTCCGACCAAAGTTATTGCAGACAAAACCTCTTCAATCTACCAAGGCATCAGTTGGTCAACCACATACAATAATGACAGCCCCCAGCCCCGTCGACGCAGCACCTCACATCCTTGAACTCCTCGCCGACCTTCACCAGAGGTCTCTGGACCAAGAGGCTCTCCTCTCCAAAACCGGCAAGGCCTCTTCCTCAATCATCCTGAGCGAGCTCCAAGATCAGGACCCTACCATCACCACCACCCCGGCGAACCTTAAGAAGCAGTTTGACCGCCTCATGATCGACAAGTTCATCGCTCTGTGATGAGCAGGTTCCGAGAGATTGAGGCAATAATAATCATCAGGAGAGGGAGGAGGAGGAGCGGTTACTGGCGTACATCAAGGACATGGTGGCGGAAGCGGATCCCACCGGCGAAATGGCGGCGAGTGGGGGTCGCAGCCATTCCCCGCAGGTGGATCTCTGCATTCACGTCCTCAAAATCTGGCACAAGCTGTTGAGTGGAGACGCGGTGTGGGATGTAGTCCGCTTGATCGGACGAGCGTTGGAGGCCTATTGGAGGATTCTGGAGGGAGGGACTACCTAGTGCCTACAAAGCATCGGGGGGTTCCGGATGAGCACCTGTCCGTAGTCCGAGGACGACTCGTCAGTCTGCGCATGTATGTATACTAGACGGAGGAGGCGAAGATCATTTGCCCATCTGGATGGGCTCTCATCATACCCCTTTCCACTCAAATAGCCAAAGAATCGAGATTTTTCATGGTTTGCATTGGTAAGATATAGACATGCTTGGCCATTGGTGCAGGCATTGCTACATTGCATCCAAAAGCGATCAACAACCGAGCGCTGACCCCGTTGCATTGCAGCATAATCGCATTGCCAGTGTGCAAGCAAGCATCGAAGTCCCCAATCCACCCTTTAGCTCTGCGTATACAGATCTCCTCGCACATACTTGAGACCCGTATCACAGCCCACGGTCACCACCGTTTTTCCCGGCTCTAATTCCTTGGCCAGCTGCATCGCGGCGACCACGTTCAAACCAGAAGAGGTACCCAGGAGAAGACCCTCCTCCCTCGCCAGCCGTCGACACATGGCACGTCCCTCGGCTTCGTCGATGGCCCGGGCCTCATCATACCAATCCCGGTTGAGCAGAGGCGGGGGGAAGCCAATGCCGATCCCCTCCACCGAATGTTCCCCGCCATGACCCTGGGTCAATGCCGGTGCCGAGGCCGGCTCCAGGACCGCGCGCCGACACCCCGGCCACCGCTGCTTCAGCGTCCTTCCGACCCCCATCACCATGCCGGCCCCGCCGATCGCCCCTCAGAAGGCGTCAATCGGCCCCGGAATCTGCGCCAGCACCTCGCGCCCCAGCGCCTCGTAGCCCGGGAAGACGTCGGGATTGCTGAACTGATCAGCATAGTAGTAGTCGTGCCCGTCGCCCTGGGCGGCGATGTGCCGCGCTCGCTCGCGCATGGCGGGGATCAGCCGCGGGGTGATCTTGCCGGTCCCGCTGGGCACGAGGTCGAGATCCGCCCCGAACGCGGTCATGGTGTTGAGCTTCTCCGCCGCAAACGCATCCGACGAGACCACCCGGAAGGCGTAGCCCTTGACGGCGCAGACAAACGCCAGCGAGGATACCGTGCTGCCACCCGTGGCCTCCACGACGGTCATCCCGCGCCGCAGATCCCCACGCCGCTCCGCTTCCTCGATCACCGACTGCGCCATGCGGTCCTTGTACGATCCCGTGGGATTCAGGCTCTCCAGCTTCACGAAGACCCGGGCGCTGTCGGGAGGAACCACATGCCTTAGTTCGACACATGGCGTGTTTCCAATCGCGCCCAGGGCGCTGGTAGTGCTGGGTCGAACGGACATGTCGTGATACAGAAGGGAATGACTGACGATGCGATGCGCAAGAAGGAGAAGGAAGGGAGGAGAGGGTTAGAAACGGAGGAATCGATGGTATCAGATGATTGGAACTTCGGTGCAAAAGGCCATTGCGCTTGTTTTTGTGCCATTTCATCCGGTGGACCACTATGTTAGTGCGTTACTTGCATGGGATTTATGTGTACTGTACATACTCCGAGCTGCCTCTGATGATCGAGGGCGAATTGGGGTTCCGCATCAGGAAAGCCGTTCTCCAAAATGCCAAGCCAGCCCAGCCCTACCGTGGACACCGACTACCTACAGTACGTATCTAACTCTTCGCAATCCAGTTAACGGTGAAGAAAAAATGGAATCGCCATCGTCATGCCCAATGCAAGAGTCTTTTTCCCTTTGAAATCTATAACATGTGTCGCTGGGTGGAGTGAACCATGGCCATCACCCGCCAGGTATAGTACAGTACAGTCGGGGAGCAAGGGTCGAATTCCGGAGACGGGTCAATTGACATGATGTATAAACCCTCGTCTCTTCCGTTGGAGTATTCAGCTGGATCTGGCCAGAACAGCAGAATTGCAGAATAAAACAAAGCTTGTTGCAGAAGATTGCATTAAGTCCAACTCACAGATTCGTCCGCGGCTGTACTATCTTAAGAATATAACCGATTTGTCGGACATGACCCCTCCTCCACCACTGTGCTTTGTATGCGTAGCATACTATACATAGTTAGAGTCACCACATCAAATAGAGCACAGAGACACTGGGTGTGCAATTAAGAGCAGGAAGAATCAAGTTATACTTTGGCACTTGATACTGAAGCGCCGGACGGCTGGTGATAAGCACTGGTGACAAGGTTCTGTTACTACTGATTATTCCAGGTATAAGAAGAATAAGCATGGGCTTGGATTTCATCAAAGTTGTCGAAATGCTTGATTATAGCACGGTCTATCTCTAGTGGGATCCCAGAAGCGAATAATGTTGAGAAGTGTAAGATAGATATCAGAAGTGGATTATATACTAAAGGGGTAATATTATTGGTATGAGGCCAATACCAGCTCTACTAGAAGCTGGGTCAATAATGCTAATTTTTAGATTCTCTGTGGTAGGCTCAGGACCCCTTTTACGCAAATAAATCTAGTAACTTCTTCAGCCAGGCATGTATACTACGGGCAGCAGACTTATACCCGTACTGGGTACAAGCATGGAGGACCTCCCAAAAATAGCGGGAACCTAGGCCCCATTAAATAGACCTGCTGGATCGCCGGTCTCACTATCTGTAGAGCTTGGTTTTTTTGTATCAAGCTTTTAGGGTTTACACAGGCTACTTATAGCTGGTGATATACAGTAAAAGTACTTCGACCGGAGAATGACGCCAAAGGGCCCGAGTCCCACTATCTACATAGTACCCGTTATGATTGGCTATCTCGTCTACATTTGCTGGTTTCCACTGCTCTGATTCGTGGTGACCTCTGCTGATTAATGCACTGCTTATGTGAGCTGTCTCCACTCCTTCCCGAATCCTTCCTTCCAAAGTATAGACACTTCATGGATGATCCGACTGCACTTCACTTACTTCATCTTCTACTTAATTTAATCGACACGATCCTCGTTTGATCCGTCCCTGCCTCTTTACTGAAGGTCCCCTCGAGACTCCAAGCACTGTACGGCTTTTCTAGATCTACGAATCTTTTATGTAGCCGAAATGTGCCAGCCTGCACGATCTGCACCCAAGCCAGCGCCTCGCGTGCATGGCCACGGGCACTAAAACCCGCGTTATGAGCCCAATCGAGATCAACCACGGTGATTGGATCTGAGGGGAAAGACCCCTGTCACGCCAGTTTGCTGCTATCGAAGGCCAACTGCTAGGCTGTCATATTTAAGAGAACCAGATCTCGCGCATTCATCCATCAATCCTTCCCTTGCCAAATCCCAATTCCCAAGATGGAGTCGCAGATCGAGACAAAGAGCCCAACGAAACCTCAGAAAAGGGCGTTCTCGAAGAGATCCCGCACTGGGTGTCGGACCTGTCGGTGAGTACCTAGTGCCTAGTGGTCTGCCTTGGACTTGACAGACTGGCTGGGATTGGCTAAAGGATCTTAAATGCACAGAGCTCGCCGTGTCAAATGCGACGAATCTCCTGGTGCATGCAGCAACTGCACAAGTACCGGTCGCACTTGCGCGTATGACATGCAACGGCTTCCTCCCGGAGGTGGGCGTAAGAGAAATGCAACCAAAATCGTCATCTTGTCAGCTCCCAACGGCGCATCTGCCACCATCCGCGCCGCTATCGCAGCCAAGTTCCAGTGGACGGTGACCTCTGATGAGAGCCGCTGTCTCTCCTTCTTCCAGCACCGGTCTGTCCCGCAACTCGTGGGCTACTTCGACTCGCCTCTGTGGCGGGAACTGATTCTGCGCTTGTCCTGCACCGAGCCTGCAGTGTACCATGCGGTCGTTGCACTCGGGGCAGTGAACCAGGCCAATGAGATGGCAGGTCGGACTCCAAGACCCGGACAGCAGCAGCACCTTCTGCGGAATGCCTGGTATGGCTTCGCGCTGGAACAGTCCTCCCGTTCATTTGCCCTCATCCATAAGAGACGCACGTCACACGACCCGCAGCTTCAAGAAGTCATTCTGGTTTGCTGTTTGCTTTTTATTATTTGCGAGTTACTGCGTGGAAACGTCACCGAGGCCACCTGCCACCTGCAAGGAGGTCTGCGTATCCTGCATTCGATGAATATCGAGCGAGGCTCATCGGGGTTGGAACTCAGCTGCGGGGGAGTGGACGAGTGTGTCGTGGAGTCCTTCATGAACTTTCAGGAAGGGTCAATCTACCATGGTCTGAAGGAGCCCCTGCGTTTCGACAGCGAGTTCGTCTACGATCGACCCTACGAGGCCTACCTCCAGCCCTTCCAGAGCCTCTCCTACGCGCGCAGGGCCTTCCGGCCCCTCCAGCACACCGGCTTCGAGCTAATCGCGACGTGCATGTCGGCATCCGAAGCCGACATCGCGAGCAATTACGCCACGATCCACTTGCAGCAGCACCGACTGATCGCCCTGCTGACACGGTACCTGCAGGCGTTGGACGATTTCTGCCTCCGCACCTTCGGAACCACCTCCTTCACCTGCCCCGTCATGGCCGCGAGCCGGGACGCCGCGCGCCGCAAGGACTTCCGCGAGGTCGAGCTGACGCGGCTCACCTGCCTCGCGCTGCTCCTGGGGCTGAAGACCGCGACGTACAGCAAGCAGCAGCCGCCGATGCCCGACCGGCACCTCTGCGAGCGGCGGAGCCTGCTGGCCGCGGCGCAGACCGTCATGCGCAAGTTCGACGGCCCGGACCGCCGCCCCGCCTTCGCGCCCAGCAGCACCGTCGTCGCCGCCGTGTACATCGCCGCCCACGTCTGCCCGGACCACGCCTTCTACTGCCTCGCCAGCGACCTGCTGCACTCTTGGAGCGCCGAGGAGGGCTTCATGAGCTCCACCAGGAACGCCAAGATTCTGGACGAGTCGCTCAAGCTGTACCTGTCCCAAATGTGGCGCAGCGCCGCCCCCTTGCCGGACGGGGTGACCTTCTCCACGGACGCGACAGGCTGCCAGGTCACAGCCCACCTGGCGTACCGCGCGGATGGGGTCGAGAAGCGGCGCTCCATGGTCCTTGAGAGAGATGAGTCCCTCGTGGCGGAGCTGCGGGCCATCGACAACTCCCAAGACTGGGTGTGTTCGCGCGCGTTGGGGTTGCTGGAGCGGAGAAGTTACCTGTGAGGGTTGATGGTGTTTCGGCCACAACCTCGCTGCGATTTCGGGCCAACATATTTGTACATATTCGAAGGGTGCCCCTGGCGTGATGGGAAAAAATCCTTGCAGATATTCATCCACTGCGCTGCGCTCATGTGTCATGGTGCATGAATCTATGGCTCGTCCCCGGCTGAAGCATCCCTGTGAATTTTCTTGTAACCGGATCTCCGACATTCCAGAGTTAGTGGGTCGTCCAATTGACTATGCGCGTGACGTCCAGGTGTTCCCATGATAAACCTAACAAAGTAGCCTGGTTGAGCTGTACTAAAATTGTTTTGCAGCCTAGGGTGGCAGCAAGCACGGTCCGGGCTAGGGAGCTAGATCACCTGGACTCAGCTGGGGAGGCGGGGTATATAAGTTCTTCTTGCCCTTTCTATTCTCATTGCTCAACATTACCCAGTGCTACCGCCACAAAGTGCTCCCCCCCTAGGATGTAAGAGCTGTGAGCATAAAGGCCAAACTGCGCAGCTATCTCTCTTTCCCTTAATCAAACGGGGGACCCTTATTTTTGAATGTGTTCTCGGTATGATCAGCCTCTGGTGTCCATTATGCGTCACACTGCAGATAAATCAAGGCTTTCCAAGGAAAACGTTGCACAAGTTCTCAGTCACTTATCCTGTGCGACCGGCATGTTTGATGCTGTACGATTCTCCGCTCTGGAACTTGCGTGGCTGCTGTCGCACTGCAGATGGTTCATGTATCTACTGTACTCGGGGGATGATCTACATTGACTTTGTCTCATCTCAAACAACCCTCGACGAAGACAGCCGGTCTACATCGTCGCGGTTGGTGCGGACTTCGTGGCTGCAGTCGTTGCGAATCGCCTATTCACACCAGATTGGCACGAAAGCGCCCGAACCATTTGCCGATCGATTGCGATCATGACTATGATCATCGCAGTGGGTCACCAAGCTGAGTATGATGGTTTTACAAGCGGGCTGAACGCCGGTCAGTGGGTTCAGAAATTGTCAGCGATGGTTCTCGCGGATGCAGTCGCAGTCAGCTTCACATTGCTTTTTCGGGGCAGGAGTGATTGTTTGCAGGGATCTCTGCGGGCCCAATCTTTAGGGTTGTGACTTTCTGTGGAAAGCCTGCTCATTGCATACATATATGAGTCTTGTCTCAGATGTTCCAGCACAGTGGTTCATGTCTCACCCCAACATCCACTCTGCTGGGATTTACGTAGTCACGGGCTTTATACATTTCCGTCGTGGTAACGCGACAGGCTGAAACCTCTGACTACCCCCCTCTGCCCTCTCCAGCCTTGTCTCGAAAGGGCTCCAGCATGCGTTCTCAAGATGAAGTCGATCTGGAACGGAAACCCTTGCTCGACCGACGCTCGCGGAAGCTCTTCCAGATCCTGAACTACAACTGGGCGATCTTCCCAAGCACGGCCTTTTTGTCGTTCCTAGGTACATCCAAGAATTCTCTGTGATTATTCCATGCTTACTGGTTCCGCTATAGGAGTATATTCTCTGATGGTGTGGGCGGGAGTTCCTGAGGCGATCGTGCAACCGGGGGTGCTCTGGACGCGCGACTGCACGATCATCACCCTCATCATCACCCCCTTCCTCCTCGCCCAGTTCCCCCCCTACCACATCCTCTGGGGGATGTGTCTCCCCATACGACCGTTCTCATACGCCCAGGCCCCGAAACAACGGTCCTTCCGCAGCCTGCGCGTCGTTCTTGTCACCAAAGCGACCAACATCCAGGGAAGTACTATTCCCCTCTTACCCTCTGCAACAACCCGCCCCCATTACTGACCGGAATAAAAGACCGTGTTGAACACCGTCGACCTCTGGAAACCGCTCAGCCAAGCCTTCCGCATCAGCTTCGTCGTCGTCGTCGACTCAGCCCACAACCCCTTCACCACCCTCCTCCCCAACTGGGTCGAGCAGCTGCAGTGCCCGCCCTCCTTCCAGGCCGCGCGCGCCACCCACAAGGCCCGGGTGCTGGAGTGGTACCGGCGCCACAGCAGCCTCACCGACCGGGACTGGGTGCTGCACCTGGACGAGGAGACGGAGATCGACGACTACCTGATGCAAGCGTGTTTGGATTTCATCGAGCGGGGGAGTGATGATATTGGGATGGTGCGTCACATACCCTTGAGCCCCCTTTCCCAATTCTCTCTTCCCATGCTTGCTCGAGAATAGCTAACCAACCGACAGGGAACAATCTACTACAACGCCTCCTCGCACTGGAAACACCCCCTCACCACCGTCGCGGAGATCCTGCGCATCGCCGAGAACTTCGGGCGGTACCAGCTCCCCGTGCGGTTCTTCCGGCAGCCGCTGCTCGGGTTCATGCGCGGGAGCTTCCTACTGCTGAACGGCACGGTCGAGAACGCAGTGACCTGGGACACGGACTGTCTGACGGAGGATCATTGGTTTGCTTACTACGTATGGCCTCCCTTCCCTGCTGTCATCTGGGGCCGAAAGGAGAGGAGGGCGTACGCTCTCAGCACAAACCCAACCCTGCAGAACCAAGCGACTAATCTCCGGAGGGGTAGGCCGCGAAGCAAGGCTTCAAATTCGGATGGCTGAACGCGATCGCGCGCGAGCAGGCCCCCTCCACGCTGGGCGATCTGCTCCGCCAGCGGTGCCGGTGGTACAGCGGGGAGCTGATGATCCCCAGCTGGGCGCTGCGCGTGATGGTGGCGTTTAATATGTTGGAGTTCGTGGCGCATTTCTGCTTGTACGTCCCCCCCCCCCTTGAGAATCTGTCTTGGCCAGACGTGCAGCCTTCGCTAGGCGTGTAGCTTTCGCTTTTCAATTGGAGGCGGTTACTGATGCTTACTCCGGTGTGGGACAGAATGATGACCATGATCTACGGCGGCTGGGCCATCTCCGTCTCCTACGGCTTCTTCGTCTGGACCACTTTCAACCTGGCCGTGCTGCTGCACGGCCGCGTCGTCGCGTGTCTGCTGGAGGATCTGGACTGCCATGCCACGGCGCTGCTGGATATCCCGGTGCATGTGGTGCTGACGGTTGTGCTGGCGCCGGTGGTGGATTTGGTGCAGGCGGCGACGTTTCTGTGGACGGTGGTGCGGCCGACGAGGGAGTTTACGGTTATTCGGAAGGATTAGCAGCCCCCAATGGAAGGGGAGTGGTAGGGTCAGGATGATAAAAGGGGGTTGCGGGTGTTGCTGTGCTCGTAAAGGGGAGGGGGGTGGAGGGTTCACTTGCTAGTGGATACTTTGATAACTGTTTGCTATTATCTCGATAGCGTTCTGCGTCTTCTTCACTGCATACCTCCTATCTTTGTTCAAACTCGGGTATCTGCCCCGATTGAAAATCCAAGAGGAAAGGGAAAGGAATGGGGTAGTACCCCAACTCACCATCCCAACCAAGCCCAGTCGCAATCTCAATCGCCCTGGACCCACCCCCACACAGTTCCATCCACGTGTTTCCAACTCTTGCCGGTATCCTGACAGTCGCATCACGAGCGATGACATGATATAAGTCGGAATAAGAATGTACATGCCCGAAACTGAGCTGTATCCGTCCGTAAGGCAGGGGTAGACCCCAATTCGACTGCATCGGGGTTCGGTTCAGGTATGGTTCGGGGACCATGTTGTGAGGTACGAGGTGAGTGTGCGGTTGTTCAGTACAGTATAATGATCTTCTGTTGTCGTGGCAATGATATCTTTTACTGTAGTGCTCTAGCTTGTTTTCTGGATTTAGTGACTTGGTTGCTGGGCTGTGCGGGTCTTGCGGGGTGTGAATCAGCGCTGTGTTTATTGTGTCTGAACATTTATCTCGGTCCTAATTTCTGGGATACTATTGGGGATTGTATGTTGTATCTCCATGAAAAAAAAAATACTAATAAATAGAAGACAGGAGAAGGGAGTAAGAAAGACAAAAAAAAAAAAAAAAAAAAAAAAAAAAAAAAAAAAAAACATAACTCATAGTTCTTCTGGTTAATTTTGTAGTATGGTGCCGGAAGTAATTGGCACCTCCGCATTAATTCATGCTTGAGCTATGCTCTGCCGATATATATATCCCCCTCAAACCCAGCACAATACCACAACCTCATCACCACCAACAAAACATCAAATCAAAAAATCCAAGCCCTAGTAAAAATACACACACTCTCTATCAGCCACAATTGAACCGAACAAAACCCCAGTGCCACCCATAAACTAACGACACTCAAAAAACCAACATATCGCAAACCGGAAGCATCCCCAGCCAATCCATTAACACGCCCTGGTCAAGTTTCCCAAAAATAACGGCAACTCCAACAACTTGTCTCGATGGTGTAGTTGGTTATCACGTGGGTCTCATATCTCGCATATGACTCGGAAGCGCAACTTCTGGGCGATCCCAAGGCCGGGAGTTCGAACCTCCCTCGGGACATTTATTTTTTGCTTTGTCCCAATTTCCTCCTCCAGGGGTGGATTCGTTGTCATGGTCGTGATTGTGTGATATGATTTTTTTTTTCGTTCCACAAAAATAAGGTTGGTTGTTGTGTCATCACTACTGGAAACATACTTGATCCCCGGATCGGTTGGGCAGCCGAAACCTTCAGAGGACGACGGTACGGTGGTAGACGCGCGAGTTTGGCCTTCCCGCACGCAGCATAACGATGCAGACTCACCCGTTCCCGCTGGTGACACATTCACAGGCCGGGGCAGATAACCACCCGGGGGAACCGTCGCACTCAGCCCTCGCGCACCCCAAGCCCTGTATCCAGACACCACAAAGCAGCAGAACCAACCCCAAACTACGGATTCCTCACCAGGTGCGATGTCCCCCGTGAATCTGCAGGCATTCTTTTCCCCCATCTTTCACCCGTGATAACAAGTTGGCAGCACAGTTAGTCATCCGAATGGGCCTATGGCGCAATTGGTAGCGCGTACGACTCCAGATCGTAAGGTTGCCTGATCGAGCCGGGCTGGGCTCATCCATTCTTTTTTGTTCCCCTCAGAGAATCGTACCCTAACTCGCCTCCTGTTCACAAGGGTCCGTACCCCGATTGACCTCGCTATTCACAACGACAGGTGATTGGTTTACAATTACACTGATCGAAAACCCAACCCGAAGAAAAAAATCATATCATGTTGAAAAATCTAGCTTCTATTGTTCTATTACAAAAGACAGGACGATCCTGATCCAAGCCAGGCAACTAAGCCCACCCGCGCTTCTGCTTCCACTGCATGAACTTGGCGGCGAAGGGGAACAGCAGGATGGAGAGGGCGATCCAGATGAAGAGCACCGCGAAGTCGAGGCCGATGCGCGAGTGCGTGTCGAAGAGGATGGTGCGGAGGGCTTCGACGACTGTTTTTATTTCTTGGGTGTTAGTGTCGTCCTTCCACGGGAAACGAGTGCAAAATATCGGGATAAGGGAAGGGAGAAAAGGAACGTACTCCGATGCAGAGGCCACGCGTACCCCCAGCGGAAGAACCCCGGCGCCAGATCGAGGGCATAAAACCCCGTGGCGACGTTGGTGATGACCCAGAAGATCAAAAACAGCGAACTCCAGGGGAACCCGATGATCATGGCCATGTTCTCGCAGGGGAAGCCCAGGGCGCACATGCCGACCCAGTTCAGCATCCAGTACACGACGAACGAGCCGTGGCCGTAGGCGTTGGGGTTGTCGGCCGGCTGGACGGGCGAGGCCGGCGGGTTGGTGAAGGGGATCTGGAAGGCGAGCGAGACGAAGCTGTAGAACAGCGAGAGGCAGAAGTAGGTCCCGATGTTCGAGGCGATGCGCCACAGCAGCCACTGCGGGATCTTGAGCGCGGGGCTGTTGGGCGTCTTGAGGAAGCGCAGGTGCACCGGCATCATGAACGGGGTGTTGAAGAAGGCCAGGATGATCAGGTAGATCAGCCCGATGCTGGTGGCCGGCGAGATGACGGCCGGGCCGAAGAAGCGCAGGTCGATCTGCGTGAAGCCGATCGCGGGGTTGAGCGCCTGCGCCGGGGTTTGCGTCAGGTTGGTGATCGTGCTGCTGGTGAGGTTCTGGATCCAGCGCGGCCCGAAGTAGCTGCGCACCGCTTGCTCCAGCCCCCAGAATTCCGGCAGGATGTAGTTGTAGTAGGTGGACTCGTCGCGCGCGCTAATGATGACGAATTCGGCGGCGCCGTAGGGGTCGTACGAGGTGTTGCCGCCGGTGACGGCCCCCTGGAGGAGGGCGGTCGCGTTGGCGTTGATGATGATCGCCGCGTAGGCGTGCTCGTCGTACACGCTCTGCCGCACCGCCCACGGGTCGTGGTCGAAGTCCGCCGGCGAGCGGATCGTATACCCCAGTGCCTCCGGGTTGGTGCGGACGGTCTCCTCGACCACGTGCGTGATGGCGGGGCCCACAATGGGCGTGGTGTTGCGATAGGGCTCCACTTGGCCGTCGAAGTCGACCACCCAGACGGTGAGGTTCTCGAACCGCGTCTCGAGCTTGTATTGCACGGCCCAGAATAGCGACAGAATACCCAGGATGAAGGTGCAGAGAATTAATACTGCGAAAGTCAGCTTTGAGGTGCACTCGTTACCGCCAGCTGGGCAAACTCACCGGTCTTCCCCCATTGGAGGAACACATGACGTCGGACTTGCGATAAGGCAGGATCGAAAAACGAGACGCTGGCGGGTGGCGCAGAAGGCTTGACTCCCGTCTCGGCCTTGTCAATGGACTCCTCGGCGCTGCTCATCCTGAAGGAACAGAAGGATCACGAGGCGCAGATATGGATGAGGATCTAGGATGTAACCAACAGAAGGAACCACCAGACCACTAACTTAGCTGCAGGGCAGGCGAGCGGGCGACTTTTAACCCTAAGTACGGCGGGATCCCAGTATGCATCATTCTTGCTCGACGCTGACTGCGTAATCCGGGCTGTTAACTCCTTCGAGTAATCAAACTCTTTATCTCCGGCGCAGATGCAGATCCATGACTCTCATTGGTCGGGCCTTCGGCCTCGATCGGGGCCCGAAGGGACGCGAGAGAATTTGCTTAGTGATCTTATCAGGGGTCTGAGATCAGGAACTGAATCCATGGCTCAGTTTGTGCCGTATTGCCGGATCTCGGAAAGTTGCTTATAAGTTACATTCACCCGCAACCCGGATGATCCATCCCTTGCGCTACCGCATCTTATCTGATTGATCCCTCCATCCTACTACAAATAAATAAGCAACGCCTCGGACTCTTGCACAGTGAAGGTCGCCTGGCCGCTCTGCACGGTTGTTGTCTCCGCCTCCGCCGTGCCTTGCAATGCACACGTCCCGTTGGCAAATGCCTGTCCCCCGATGGTGATGGCCCCCGCTCCCACCGTCGTTGTCGCCGCATCGCCTGTCAGTCGCTTGGCTGATACGGTGGTCGAGGGCAGGCCGCTCAAGCTGATGTTGACGCTGCTCCGTGTCCCCGAGGTGTAGTACTCCGAGTTGTACAGCAGCACCCGCGTCGGCGCTCCGCTGCTGTCGTAGATCGCATACGCGGCCACCCGGCTGTCGCCGCTGTCCAACTGCGCGACCCGCGCCGCTCCCCCGAGTGCCAGCGCCGCGGTATAGGCGCCAAAGAACGGGGCGTTGACGGTCTCGTCCCACCAGCAGTATGGACCTAGATGTTTCAGTGTCAGTGTTGCCCTCGTACTACACTTGATCGACCGCTTACAGTTCCCGATAGTTCCCTGATGGAAATACAGTTGCTGCCGACCGTGTCAGTCTTGGAAGATCAGCATCCACGTGGACGAGTTGTTTACTCACCTTGATCCCCAGGATAACAGCCTGCATCGCGTAGTCCAGGATCCACAAGCCCGCGCCAAAGGTGGGACTAATCCCCCCGCCTCCCCCGGTCGCTACCCTGCAGTTAGTTGGGTTACCATTTTCAGGAGGGAGGGGAACGCACCGGAGTTGGTTTCTCCCATCACGAAGTCCTTGTCAAGATCATGCGCCGCAGACACCTGCGACTGAAACGCCGTCACGCCCTCCACGATCGCCTCGTGGCTCATCAGCCCATCGAGATCCGCGGTGGAGGCGGAGTAGGGGTAGTAGTGGTGGCAGAAGGAGCGCACGTATTGGGTGGCATCCGTGTCTTCCTCCTCGCCTACGAGGTTGGTCACCTCGTAGGACCCCAGTCCGAAGAAGACGCCCGCTTGGATGATGGCGGTCTTGTCGAGTGCGGTTCCGACCGAGCTCTGCCATGCAACCTGCGACACGGCGTCGGCGGCTGCGGTCCAGGATTTGCCGTCGGCGATAGGGTCGCTGGATGTGAAGACTGCTGAGGTTAGACCTGCCGAGTTGACGGGGTCAGGGGACGTACAGTTTGGCTCGTTGCCGAGCTCAATGGCGTATAGGTTGTTGATTGTGGAAGTGGCGACTTTGGCGGCTGCGATGGTATTGTTGATGTTGTCTAGGCGTCTGTTGAAGCCTGTAGAGGGTTAGGACCGTGGTCTTGAGCAGAGTTGCTTGGTGGCTTCAGACCGATGGTAACGGATCCACTATAGCTGGCTGCTATGTCCATGAACGAGTCTCCGAAAGTCAGAGTCTCGGGGGCGTCATCTGGCGAGGCGACGGTGTAGGATACAGCAGACGACAATGAGGCGTTGTATGTCGCGCGGTCCCTATTCAGTCAGGTGGTGAAGTAACCTGGATCTGAGGAGCAGAACTCACTGGGTGGTTCCTCCGATCCGGATAGGCGGACTTGTTCCATATGCATCGGCCAGCACTCCCAGACAACCGTCGGTCAAGGACAGCTGTTCGAAGTACTCGGGGAAAGCAAAGAACTCGAATCTGGATTGTAAGCTCTCATACCAGGAACCGAGTGAGATCCAGGAGACTCACGACAAGCCCACCGGCGCAGCATCGATCTGCGCACTCGCATTGGCAGGCACAGAAGAAGGGATCTCGAAGCTCAAGCCGTTGACCGCGCGCGCAGTAGCCAGAACCCCGCTGACTATGGCAGACACACGTAGTTTCCTTGTAGTCATCATGGAAATACACAATTGAAGATTACTAGAGTTGTGGTTGACCGGATCAACCTGGGAGCCCTGTAGCCATAAATGGAGCTCGGTTATTTATCTGGTCCATTGGCTGGCCAGCAGCAGCTCCCTCGGATAAATTGAGACCATTTCATCAAGCCATATGCAGGTGTCTCGGAAAATTGATGAGCGAGCAGGGGAACGCTGGAGATGGATTGGGAGAAGATCGCCTCCAGTGACGCTGAAGTGCGGGGAAAATGCAGGTGAGGAGGAAAACGCGGAGAAGCCGGGGTGAGCAACGAGCGAGTTCTTCCACCAAACATCATGCATCATCCATTTCTCTGGATACAACTTTTCTTGTGAGGTAGTCAGAAGATTCAAGGAAAGAAGCTGCGCACATTATCATCACCAGCCGAAAACCGACGGAGGCGGTTGACCCCTCCCATACAAGATAACCACCTCAGCCACCACACCACTAAGAAGTGAACGTCAACAACCTCACCTCAACCCTCAAACACAAACAGTACGCCGGCGGCCATCATGACCATCCCCGACCTCCACCCCCAAATCTCCATCCTCACGCCAGACCCCCCGAGCACCCACCGCCTCAACGCGTGCGCCTACCAACAAAGCGCCCTCACCACCGTCGCCCACACGCAATACGCCGCCTTCTACACCCCGACGCCCGACCCAACCACGCGCTTCCTCACCCTCGCGCGCCGCGATCTCTCCGACCAAACCAGCGAATGGCACCACCTCACCTTCACGGACTATCCCCAGCGCACCGACGACGGCCACAACACCATCTCCGTGGGCATCTGCGCCGGCGACGGCACGATCCACCTGGCCTTCGACCACCACTGCGACACGCTGCACTACCGCCTCTCCCAGCCGGGGCTGGCCTACGACATCCGCAAGTCCAGCTGGACATCTGCCAGTTTCGGGGCGGTGCAATCCCATCTCCCGGGGTGCAGCCCCTTAAGCGACGTGACCTACCCCC